TAATGGACGCAGACAGGAGCATTCAATAGGCATTAAGCATAAAGGGAAAAGATATACACACACACAAGTTTCAAGACTTATGTCCAGTCAGTTTACTTATCATGTCTCATCGACCAAAAGGACAGTAAACAGTCAATCGGGACAAACCCACGTCGTTAACTGATTGTAGTACATAACTGAAATTGTACTCTTATATCATATATTGCATATTTCCCTGAAAAGAGAGAAGAATCAGTAGGATTTAGTAGCTTGGGGACTCTGAGGTGTTTTTTTTTTGGGTTTGCGCTATAGTTATGGTAAGTCTATTTTCTGCTTTGCAGTTATCTTTACATCTGCTTCTCTGTGATCATTTAGGGGGCTGCTGTGTATACATAGGATGAAAATTGTGCATCGTGATCTAAAGAGTGGAAACTGCCTTGTAAATAAACACTACAAAGTCAAGATCTGTGATTTTGGACTGTCGCGGTTACTGATTTCAACGCCCATGCAAGATTCTTCCTCAGCAGGTACACCGGAATGGATGGCCCCAGAGCTTATTCGTAATGAACCTTTCACCGAAAAATGCGACATTTTTAGTCTTGGGGTCATAATATGGGAACTATTCACACTCAAAAAACCATGGGAAGGTGTTCCATCTATCCAGGTAATTTCTAAATGATCTTTCTTGCCTGCCCCTAGTGAAGGAAACAGAAGAGAACAACATTTCCTTTCATCTTCAAGTGCAATCTTGATAAAGTGGAAATTCACAACTTCAGGTCGTGTACGCTGTTGCTAATGATGGAAAACGGCTAGAAATTCCTGAAGGTCCTCTAGGAAAGCTAATTTCAGGTATTTTGCATTACAATATCTTACTCTACATTACGGACACGCTATTATATTTCATAGGATTTAATGTATTTCATATGCATCAGCATAATTTAACCTGTTATAGGGTAAAAATTCTTTACAGCGTATAGTAGTTTAACTCTATTCTGATATAATGAGAGAATCTCTCCCTATTAATTACTTTTTTTCCTAATCGTGTTTTAGATTGCTGGGCAGAACCAGATGAACGGCCTAGTTGTGAGGAAATCTTATTACGGCTACAAGAATGTAGGTCTTCTGCTAGTTGATTCTTTGCATTCTTGGTGGAATGCTAGAACGAGGATTAATTTTTCAATAAAGACTGTATATATAATCAATTTCTTTCTGTAAAAGTAATGTTCATAAATTTTGACTAAACTTCTCTCTTATAGTTCTACTTCTTATTCCTTTTCTCATTTTAACAAAATATTTTTTGCGGAATTGCCGTGTTATTTTCTTCATTCATTTCTTTGAATAACCATGTCTATTTTTGCAAACAACTAACACCCTGCACTGAAGGTACCAAAACTGCAATTTCCACTATTATTGAGTTTAAAGAATAAACGGGTGAATAAAATCAAGGGGTTCGGCAATATTAGGTACATGTTTTTTTTCTCCCCAAAATAATGAACAAAAAAGGTTAGGACCAATTAGGAGGTCTTTAAATGTATAATTCACTTACCTATCTAGAGGAAACAGTTGTAAACAACTTTTTGCAACACTCTATTTCTTGATTTTTCTTTTGATAGTACTGATATAGTGTTTCTTTTCGTCGTCTTGAACTGAGGGTCTTTCGGAAATAGTCTCTCTACCTCTCGGGTAGGGGTAAGGTCTGCGTACATATTACCCTTCCCAAACCACTTATGGGATTTTACTGGGTTGTTGTTGTGTACGCCTAATTTACTGGATAATTGGATGGAAATCAATTGATTCCCAAGTCAATATGTATAAGAAATTCCTAGTCAATATTATATTCTTTTAATTACTAATAGAATAATCAGTTGTGTTTATAAGTTGTTATGAATGGCCTCAATGTGATAAACACATGGGACATGCATTTGATTGTGTTATGGCTTGAAAATGCACATACTTTGATGTCCAGTGGAAGTCAGGGACACGAGGAAGATTGTGTTGATATAAACACAAAATTTGCTCTTTCCCCAATTAAAAGTCTCCCTCATTTTTCCATGAAGGATCAGATCAAAGAAAAATCGGTTCTTATTTTTACCAAAACTATATCAACCAAAAACTGGTATCAATGTCATAAAAAGTGTTTCAGTATGTTATATCTGATTCTATAGTAGTAAAATATTCAAGGGCTTAACTTAAATACGTTGGTAATGTAAAAAAAATATATATATACGATTACCGTAATTTTAACCAGTTGCAGTATGTTGCATTCCTTTTCATTATGAAACTTCATTATCAAATGTATATCGTAATGAGCGTTGGTCGGCCTTAAAAAGGTATTTTGAGTCTCAAAATTCTCAAAAAGTTCTCCTTCATTCTTCACCCATTAATTAAAGAGATATGTTTGATAGGTACTACACACAAGTTGAGGATCAGTCCTCTTCATCAATAGCATCAAGAGTTGTTGAAGTACAAATCAATTCAGATTATCATCTATGTTTTTCACATGCTATATGTACTTTTTCCTTCTTAATTCGAGTATAGGCAGTATTTCTTCTTGATTGACTCTATTATCAAGTTTGTTTACATGTGGCATTTTTCATTCTTTCTTCTCTCTGTCACCTAACGAAATACAAAGTTGTACCAACCTTAATATGTTCAAGTACCACATGTTACTACTATATTTTTCAAATTACCATGTTAGAATTGATAGTTGAGATCGAGAGTTTCATAAGTCAACTTAATCCGATAATATTAAAATTCTTGACATTATCAGCGCGTACAAAACATAAAGTCTTTCTTTTATCTAGCAGTTCCAGAAAGAGGAAGTCTCAAAATGCTAGCTAGTCATGAGCTGGAACAATATATAGGAAATTGCATCATGGTTAATATAGAAAACAATTCTAAGATGAAGCCAAACCTTTGATCTTCTTGATTGTGTGTGTACATACATATATANTAGGAGCATCCAACAGAAACAAAGGGAATTTTCTGAGAGAGATGGAATAGAACCTGCACACAAGTATGGAAAGCGAAGTTGATAAATATGTCAGAAGGTAATAAAATTCTCTTTTTGTAACTTCTTCAAAGAAGATGATTGGCAAAAGAATTATGGTAGAGAAGAGTTCCTATCACTACTGTCCTATTGTCAATTATTTAAAGCTATCCGACAGCCCATGATCCATCTCATATTTTCCCTTTTCTTCTTTTTATCACTCCAAATTGACCTCTCATAATAGATTACGAGTTTAATTAGTATACACTAACACTATAAATTTATTTACACTATCAAATCATGTAAAAAGGGAACTTTTATGACAATCATGAATTGATAACCTATAAAACAAACATAAAAATTGATATGTTATAATAGGTAAATTATATTCGTAGATATAAAATGTATAAACTATATATAAAGGTTAATCTCAAACTTTTAGTCACTTAATCAACCATAAATCCAACTAATCAATCCTAGATTTTATCATAAGGTTTGTATCTGTCTTAAAATAAGAACCCCTCCC